ACATAAGAGGAAATTAAGAGGCAAATTTTAAAAAACAAACAGGCCCTTAGAAATATTTTGTAAGTTATAACTGTCTTCTATCAAATAAGAAAACAATTCGGGTTACTCCCTAAATTCAAAATGGATTTCATCTTGAGTTGACATCCAGATTGTTATCCAAATATGTCATCTATATTTGACATCCATATTTGACATCCGACTTTGATATATGGATTTGAGAACTTGAAATATGAAAGGATCCAAATTAACATCCGATTCATATTCCCAATACTTCATAAATCATGTCTGCTGGAATCCAAAGCATAACTTATACTTCTAAATGAAAAATACAATAGGATTATATTTGTAAAATTCTTATTATCTTTTGTGTTGGTTTTGAAATAGTAGTGACTAACATAGAAAGTCTTTGTAGAAGGGTGATTGAATACAAAAACAGTAGATTTTTGCTTTTTAATTTTTTATGTTTATTAAAAATAAAGAATTACAAATTTGTTAAGTTGGGGATGTAAGGCCTGATGCTAAACAATTTGGTTGGTGACAGATTTGTTATCAACTAAAAGATTAAGAGAAGAGAGTACCCTTTCAGATCTGAAAAACTGATATAGTTCAACAGATGGTTGACGCCGATTTTGCTTAAGAAACGATCACTCAGAGTTTCTTTCAAACTGGTGAATTCCAACAATGACAAGGATGGCCCTTTATAGCAATCAATGCATAAAATGTTGTTGTTTAACTTTAATGTGTGTCTTTATGCTTGTACTCCTCATTTTAGCCCTTGAAGGTGATGTAAACATTTGTTAACCCAACTCATCCTTCTATATGCAGAAGGAACAATAAATGAAATATGATACTAATAAAATAGTACCTTAGAACTTACTTTATCTGACATGCCAAATATGTTCTCATACCAAGACAAGGGTTGGTAGAGTTGGTAAGCCAAACTTGGTGGATAAGTTTGCATTCTAAAATCGGGTTCCAGAAGTAGTATTTGTCTTTGACTTTATCTTATATTGATCTTCTTTTGGTTAGATGACAATCCAATCCGCTTTGATGACGATCTTGGCCTCACTTCAATTAGTCTTCGATTTTGAAACACAAACAATTATAAGACTTTTACAACAAAAAATTCCTACCTATTCTTCTTTTTGATATATAAATATACTATGAATTCCAGCAAAGACTACTTATCAAGTATTAAATTCGGATGATACACAAGACTTAGATTATTTTAGCTTTTGAGAATTAGGACCAGATGATGAATTCAGAAGTCCAATTAAGATTCCAAATTCGGATGTTGAATGTTGTATCTGGATATCAAAGCCAAATATCAGGTCTTTAACATTGAGTACCAAATTCAAACACCAAATTCATATATTGAGAAGCGAGTCCATATTATAGGATCCGAACACAAAACTCATGTGTTGAGTTTCCTAATCCAAATATCAAATCCGAATGCTGAGAATTGAGTCCACATTCTGAATCCAAATATCAAATCTGGATGTTGAGAACTGAGTCCACATTCTGAATCCAAATATCAAATTTGGATGTTGAGAACTGAGTCCGAATATCAAATGTTATAATTCGAATAACTATTCCAAGGCTATAACTAAGAATTCTTCTAAGTGTTGGATCAGATGTATTTGTATAATTATCAAATCAAATATTTGAAACAAACAATTTGTATTGATCAAAATGCAAAATGTCTTCAACAAAATCGAATACTAGTTGAAGAGAAGCCAAGATAGTCACCAAAGCAGATTGGCTTATCATCTAGCCAATTGAAGATCAATACAAGATTAAGTCAAAAATAGTCTGACAAATACTACTCTTGGTGAGACGATTTTTGAGTGAAAACTTAAGCAAATGAGATAGGTGTCTAAAATCCTTCTCGTCTTCTCATAAGTTGACCATCTTCTCGTCATGATCCTCCATATATATATATATATATATATATATATATAGGGGCTCATTTAAGGGAGAACTGATTAGTTTGTGGTAACTGTGAGATTCAATCTCAGCCACAAATCAACGAATAAATTAGGAAATTAATAATTATGGTAGTTTGAGTTAAAATTATAATTAGAGGGCTTTTTAGGTATTTTTAAAAAATTTCTCTCTCCTCTCTCCTCTCTCCGACCAACAATCTCCGGCCTCCGGTGCACATTAATCCGGCAGGTACCAAGTAATCACAAAAATACACAATGTGATACCCATTGTGATATAATGTGATACCATTGTAATACCAACTATGATACCAACTCAAACCTTACAAACAAAGATACACAATGTGATACCCATTTTAATATACAATGTGATACTCATTGTGATATACTGTGATACCGATTTCACCGGAGGCCGGAGATTGCAGGTCGGAGAGATGAGAGAGGAGTGTTTTAAAAATACCTAATTTATCCTCTAATTATAATTTTAACTCAAACTACCATAATTATTAATTTCTTAATTTATCCGTTGATTTGTGGTTGAGATTGGATCTCACAGTTATCACAAACTAATTAGTTCTCATTTGATTAAGCCATATATATATATATATATATATATGGAAAGGTTTATTCGAGAATTGGTAAATATTTGAGAAGTAAATAAATGATCCTAGCATTTCACCTGGTCAACATTTGCGGCTTTGACCATGAAGCACTTGATAATTCCTTGCCTGAGTATGCGTAAAATAGAGGAGTAGTTTTAACTTTGACAAATAGGCTGCAAAACGGTTCATATGTAAACCCATGTGATAAATACATGACATGTATGTCCATACGTGAATTAGTTAATTAGCTCATATTGAATCACACGAGTTCATATGTGGATCAGTTAATTAGTTCATACGTGAATAACAAAGGGTTCATATGTGAATCAATTAAAATAGTTCATATATGAATTACACGAGTCCACATATGAACATATAGTTCATATATGAATTACACGAGTCCACATATGAACATATATTTCATATGTGAATCACATAGGTTCATATATGAACTCGCTTGCCGCATATTTGTAAAAGTTATGAAACTTTGCTCACCATTGCTCACATAGCCGTAATTTTTTTTTTGTAAGGGTGTCCGGGCCAAAGTCCGACTAATCCCCGGCAAATTTGGAGGCTAAACATGGCCCAACTTAAATATCGCCAACACTCCCCTCCCAGGGCTCGAACTTGGGTTCATGACTATGTCATGCCCAAGCCTTTACCACTAGGCTGGAAGGTCTTTGACTAGCCGTAATTTTTTACTAGTCAAAGCAGTAATTATTGACCAGTTAATTGACTAGTCATATCCGATCTTGACCATATGAAAGGCTAGAACCACTTTTTTACTTCTCAATATTTATCACTTCTCAAAATAACCTTTCTCTCTCTATATATGTGTGTGTTTGTGTGTGTATAGAGAGAGAGATTCCCAATCAAATACAAACCATGGAAATGTTACAAATAATACAAACCAATCTCAATCGTTTATCTAGTCTAACAAATATCTAGTTTCATAAATATATTGATTGTTTTATAATATAAAGAATTGATCATAATTAATGAACTCTAATCATCTTACATAAATATTCAAATGATAATAAATGAACCTTCATCATTTTTATAAATATTGGTTTGTGGATTTTTAAACGAGAAGGATTCTAGACCACCATGAATTTTGTGAATTTGAATGATACATGACTTCGTATAACCTCATGGGTTTATACGTGCATTGGTAGGACCGCATAGGTTTATGCCTGACCTTAGTTACCCAACTGGTTTTGTAAGTCTCTGTTTGGCAAGCTTAGGGATGTGGGCGACCAACCCCGCAACTTGGGTCGCAGGAAAACCCTTGACTAGATAAAACCCATTTTTTCGTCCCTCTCCATCATATTATCTTAGAGCAATTTTGGAACTTTTAGAAACCATTTTTGGGGCTTTATAAGCAGAGATTGGAGCTTTCGACAAATTTAATTGAAGAATCTTGATATGGAGCTTTCTTAGTTGAATTGCATAGATTTTCATAGTTGTTGAGAATTATATGTTTTGAGAGTGTTTATCATCAAAATGTCGAGCCGTGTAGTTTGGGACTGTAATGCAGTGAATCTATATGCATGAGTCGTTTATTGCCATTTTGAGTATTATGAAGGTGAACTCAAGTAGAGTCGAACGTCAAGACCTATGAGTTGTCTATGTCATTTGGTATTACAGAAGTGAAGTTGTATCATGTCGGACTCAATGGGTCGATTATTGTTGTTTAAATAGGAAGTATTGACTTTCTCATTTTAGACCAATTTATCTGGTCACTAAAGTCATTTGGTATTACGGAAGTGAACTCGTTGTGTAGTCGGACTCCGAGATCTTTAACTTCAGGACAAGAGGAGGCACCAAGTCTTGGAAGGTATTACAGTGATGAACTCATGAGTAGTCGAAGAGTGGGACCTTTGGCTATGAAGGTGCAACTCAACTAGTGAGTGAGTAGGCACGAAGGCCAACTGGGTATTATGAAGGTGAATTCATGCGGATTCAGACTCTGAGACCGCAATCTTGAGGTGAAACTCGATAATGTTGGTAAATGGCCTACTTTTGTGTTTCGGCACATACTACGGAAATAAGTCTTATCTGTCATCAAAAGACGTGTTTGGTTCATTGATTTTGAGATTGCCTAAGGAGAATGGCAAAAGCTTAAAATCTTTTATTGACGGGTTTTTTCGTCGACAAAAGTTTTCAAGAAAAGATGTGACGCCATAACAGTTTCTACCGACAAACGAAAGGAACTACCGACATAGTCGTTTTAAAATTTTAAACGCACAACACAAACTTTTAACAATGCAAGAAATCGTTCGCAAAAGTTAGGTCCGACTATTTTAATCAATTTTTGCTGACACAAAAACACGTCGAATTTGAATTTTTTTGGTTAACCGTTTTACCGTCACAAAAACCCGAATTCGAAAGTTTATGCATTAAAAGCGAAAACCGAAATAGAGAAAAAAATGAGAAAATATAATGGCTTAACGATATGGATGTATGAAACGATTGAATCAGACAAAATAAGTAGGAATGGGCATCCATGACTCATAACAATCAGACACAAAAGAATTGGGAACTGAATCGATGATGATGATGATGATGATGAGGACGACCTCCAATTCCCCTTTTTTTCTTCTTATTCTATATATAGAATTACAAACCATACATACAAATGGCATCCTTACACAACATCTGCACTTCGAAGAACCGCTAGTTTATACTTCATCACCGTCCAATTCGAATCCGAATTCGCCGTTTCTACTTCTTCTACCTGTTCTTCGTCGTGTTGCCAGGGATTTTCCAACTGTTTTGGTAAAGTTCCTATCCTCTTTCTTTATCGTTTCTCCTTCCTAGTAATAGAACGAATTCAATGGCTTTATTCTTTTTTACTTTTGTTTTCCTAGTTTTATTGATCAAGAGGAAAGACGTTGCAAACTTTTTGGTGGAAATTATCAAGGGTATTTAATGGAATCTTGGATTTAGTTTGACGTTTTTGTAGATGGGGTTTGTCTGAATATGGTTCCAAAACAGTTTGATTGTATGCCATGTTTATGTCTGATCTATAGATGGTATGTTTCCTCTTTTTGTCTGCGAAAAGGAAAAATGGACCACGACTTCTATGAGTGATGGACCATTTTCTGGATTATTAACATAAGGACAGAGATGACCTTGATTAGCTCCTGTTGTATTTGTACTGTGCAATCGATGATGATGCATGATGCTAACTATTTGGTGTCAATTTTTCTGTCTTTGTGTTCAAGAAGCAATATTCATTTAGTTGGCACTTTATGTTTAATTCATGTGAAAAGTGGAGTGCACGAAAGAAACTGATGTGTAAAGACGCAATCTACTGTTTTTTTTTTTAACTTTGGAGTCATGCAACTCACCCTCCTTTATTCCTTCCTTTACTTGCAATCTTGTACTAGATTATTATGGGTTTTATGGTGTTAGGCTTGCTTGTTTTATGAGCTTATTCCACGCGCCGTCTGCCAAAATCTTGCTTTTCGAAATACTATTCAAGTAGCGATTCAACGAGCTACAAAGGCTTTTTCCCACTTCTTTTTTCTTCCAATTATGCCTCTTATACTTTTCCAAACAATTTTTCGACATGTCCTTTTCGGTCATTACATTGTCATCTAACTTAATAACTAGTTTTTACCAAACATGATTAGTTTTCGGCAAACAACTAGCTTTACAGCATGAGTTGGCTTATTTGCTAGTTTGCCATACATAGCCACAGGCTTCCAACCTTCATTTGGTCTGCATGAGAGTGCTTTGGTTGTGTGTTCCGTACTCTAATTTCTTTAAGTAATCTTTTGTTTACATTGAGGTTTTTGTAAAATTCTGCAGGCATAAACAGCCTTTGGAAACATCATATCCATAGAGCTCAAGCTATGACCATAACTAAGGGGAATATTGCATCTTCAAGGTGTGCCAATGGTGTAAAAGATGAGCCAGATCATCTTCTTGTCCTTGTTCATGGAATTTATGCGAGGTAGACATTTCATTTTGCGTTATCTCTCATGATGACTGAATATTTAAAACAGTATGCTGTCATATTTGGAGGAGAGTCTACTTTGGATGGGAATGAGTGGTGAATTAAAAGAGACAAAGTGGACATGTTTGCAGATTAAGATTAGAATGTTCCCTGCTAGTTTTTGCTTTTAATACAGTTGGATGCACTTTAAGCAACAAGTTTAAGGTGTCCATATCTGTGAATTGCTTCTCTGGAACTCCCTTGTTTGCAATCAATGACCAAGGTAGTAGTAATAACTTCAGTAAATATCTCCGTTCTGCCATTTGGGCTGAAAGGAAAAAGAACAGGGATACAACAGCTGGTTTTTCATATTGTGAAAGGGTTCAACTTTGAGGTTGTTCAAGAGTTGCATGAACATTCACAGAGTTGTGACAGCTTCAAATAGGTCAAATATCAATTCTCTTTCTTGTAGAATATACAAGTTCAAAGTTTCTTTTGTGAAGCAAGTTTCCAAGCAGCCATGGTTGAGCAAAAGCAGCTCTCTGGTGTCGTATCGCTTGGGTTTAAGGGTTTTGGTGTCGAGTATAGAGTATCATCATGTTCACAAGCTCCTATATCACATATATTTATGTTCAATTCTTGATGGGGACTCATATATATATATATACATACATATATATGTATACACATAGGGGCAGGTTCAGATGAGAACCATTAATCTTTTTTAAACCGAGGAATCAACAATTCATGAACTATTCATTATGAATAACTTGATAAATATTCGTAATGAATATCATGAATAATGAAAATCATGATATTCCTGAATATTTTAGGGTTATTCATCATGAATTACTCGATAAATCGTTGGTTCCTAGGTTCTCAAAATATTTACGGTTGTCATTTGAACCTGCCCCTACATACATCGGATTCAATGGGGCATTATAGCTATCCGATAGAATTTTTAGGCTACCAAAAAACCTTCTCTATTCAGTGGTACCTCAAAACAATCATCAGCATGCTCAAACTCGAGGTTTAATGTAAGCTCAATACCTCTATAGGTTGGTTATTGTTATATTGTATGGTTGCACAGTAGTCGGTCCATGTTTCGTATAGTTTATATCTTGCTAGTGGTCTGATTCAAAGATAAGGTTCGTGTCTGAACTTAGTTAAGATGCTATTATCTTTGTATTGATTCATGTATATTACATGTAATCTAGACTCGGCACCCGCTTATTTAGCTACATACCTATGAGCATCTTACATGGACTGGGGTCTAATTACTAATTCTGTGCGTATGAAAGCTCATCAACTTCTTGAATATATGAATTAGTTGTTACAACTTTCAATTTTCAAGACAATATCGTAGTGTAACAGTCTTCTCACTTGTATATTTTTCATCTTACCATTTATAAGCACAATATGACTTGGTGATACACCTATGAATCCATATATACATATAAGTGGGCCGCACTCATGATGGGGTGTGCTGAGTTTTATAGGGTTAGGTCTTTCATCTGATTCAAGCTTTTAGACAAGTTACTGGGCTGAAAATGGTGTTAGAGCTCTAGTTTTTTGAAGTTACATGTTCCAAGTTTAGACATGCACTTGTTAGCATGCTTTCTTTTTGAACTTAAGCTTTGAGAAGGGTTGGCTACCTCACCTGCTGATTTCATGAGTTCATGATCTCTAGTCTTCTGATGTTTACTTGTATGTGAACTAGTTAGTGAAATTGGACCAACATTGTATGAGGGCTCCAATAATGGCTTTGGGAACGGTCCGGCAGGGCTCTCCAGTGGGCTGAGTATGCCCATTTTTTATATGAATTCCATGTTCAAGCATAGGTTTTGTGTGTTGTGATGGAGATTGTTGAACTTAAAATTGTCCTCTAAATAGCTTTTTTTGTATCTGTTGTTGGCTTAACAATACAACCAAATGAAACTGACCCGGTATATCCCACTCAAAAGTAGAGTTTTGTTTGGGGGGAGGGGATCTGTGCAGACATGTTCTTTACCGAAGTGATGGCTTAACAATATAGATTATCTAATCTAGAAGAACTTCAATGCACAAATGAAAGAAGAGAAAAAGATGTAAACAACGAAGTTTGAACAATATGAAGTGTTTGATTTGGTACATAGCCTTTCAGGAAATCTCATTGTCCCTTGCATCCATGAGATGAAGTTATCATAAGATGTTCCAAGTTTAGAAATGCTTTAAATTTCACTTGCTTGTACAATTAGCTGTTTGGTGGAGTGCTGGGCTTAATTAACTTCAGTTGGTATGGTCCAGGGGTTGGTTACAGCTACTTCAGTTGCACATTTTGATGGTAGTTACATGCAAAATGTCATTTACTTTTCACCAACTATTTGCTCCATGGCTAGTGCTTTCATTGACGGGTTCGATAGGCCAATTATCAGAAATTGTATTGTTCTTCTATTTTTCCTAAATCAGGTGGTTTCTCCTTCTGTATTCTTAGCTCACTATGCACCCAAGTCGTCTAACCAACAACGCTCATTTCTGAACGTTTGGCATCATGTACTAGCTTCTTTGATAGTATGCTTGCTTTTGGTTTATATCTATAATTTAATATTGAAATGGACAGTGCTCTAAAATATGCAGCCCCAGTGACTGGAGATACGTAGAAGCAGAGCTAAAACGAAGTTTAGGGAGACACTTTTTGATTTATGGTATGACTTCCTCACTTTTATCATTTTCTCATCTTGTTCGTTTATGATCACTGATTGTTTCCTATTTTACTTTTCAATCGATTTCTTTCTGGTCTTTTGAACAGCAACATATAATGATGATTTTAAGTTCTAAGTTTGTCGCAATTGCTATCTTGGAAATATGAAATTAAGACAGCTGAGTGTTTGATTTTATATGACATTTATCTTCTCTTTTGCCATAAATCTGAGGTACTAATGTTGGTTTGTTGTTGCTAAACCCATAGTCGAACTTGCCATAGATTCAACCTAGCCCATTCTCTTGGTAGTTTGATTTTTTAACTTGTCTGCAGCAAGTTCATCCAACACTTACTCTAAAACCCTTGCTGGAATTGATGGGGCTGGAAAAAGGTTGGCGGATGAAGTGAGTATCTAATGTATATGTTTCATGGCACATGTCATGATTTTACTTCTTTTATGTAGCATACTCATAAACAGTAAAGGTCTCACAAAACTCTCATGTTTGCCCAATCTGTAAAAGGTACCTTCTTTTGCAAATATAATACAAGTTTAAGTATGTGGTATGCATCCTGCAAGCCATACCATATTATAAGGCTTTTAAAATCTAACTTTTATTGATCAAACTTGAGGGGTGCTTGCAATTGGGTAATTTAATTTTTCGCATTTGACCCTACCAACACTGTCATCAATGCATTTGCAATCGAGTGGCTACTGCTAGCTTCTGTTGAAAAACATAACAGAAAGGTGACATGGAGGTGCAAGTGGATTTTTTCTCTTAAACAATGACATGGCAATCTTAATTATGAGATTGGATTAGTCAAGGTGTACGCGAGCTGGTCAGTATAGGGTTTGCCTGACTGTTAAACCTTAGGACCTAATGGGATTAGTCGAGGTGTGATGCAAGTTGGCCTAGACACCCACTGTTACAAAAAAGTTTTTTTCTAGAGAGTGTGTGTGGGTGTCGAAAGAGAAAAAGTGGTGTATGGGTGTCTTTTCATGACATTGTGCAATGCTCTGTCTTTGTTTGAAAACTTTAAATTCCACCTAAGTATCCAAATTGCTGTCTGTTAATCTTTCTTATATACTACGCTAATCTTTCTTTTTTCTTCAGAAAACCTTGAGGGGTAGCTTGACTGATAAGATCTTGGGTTTGCTCCCTGGAGGTCAGCAAGTTCAAGTCCCCTTTAGGGCCCAATGACAACTGCAGGGTTTGCCTGACTGTTAACTTTAAGGTCCAATGCGATTAGTCGATGTGTGCGCAAGATATCCCAGACACCCACAGTTAATACCAAATTTTCTTAGAGTGAGTATGTGTGTCAAAGAGAAAAACAGGTGTGTGGTTGTCATTTCCATGACATGGTAAAACAATGCTATGTCATCGTATCAAAAGTAGAATTCCACCTAAGCATCCAAGTCATCTTTTTGTTAATCTTTTTAATAGAAGCTGACAGTGATTGCAAAAGTAGTGATTCAAGAATCAAGTAACCATATAATGCGGTGTTTAAAACGAACACTTAATGCATTTTGGACCTTGTTTCAACAGGTCAAGCAAATTGTGAAGAGTACAGAGGGCCTTAAGAGGATATCATTTTTAGCCCATTCACTTGGTGGTTTAATTGCGAGACATGCAGCTGGTGTTCTTTATACCCGTAATGCCTCAAGTACAGATAAATCTGATTATAGAAAAGATTCTACATTGAATGCTTCATGTAATGGAACGATCGCTGGATTGGAGGCAATCAATTTTATAACCTTGGCAACACCTCATTTGGGAGTTAGAGGGAACAAGCAGGTTCGGTTTTCTTTATAGATGTTACTTTTCTATGGTAATATTATCATTTAGATAAAGGTTTTTCATGCAAGGTATCTTTTGACATACATGTGTTCACTGACTTAAAAGAGTGTCGAGAAAGAAAAATCTTACATTTTCATTTGCCATTTTGTGAAGCTGGAATGCTGCACATTTATTAAATTTCTAGGAAAGATAATAGTCTGCATTTGTATTGTTTTAGTCCCACATCAGCTAGACATAAACCATTTTTTCTCAATATATGTTGGGACCTCCCATCTCTCATGGGCTCTTTTGAAGAGTAATCTAATAGGATTCCACATATTTTGATATGGTATTAGAGCCAAGGTCTACCACTTTAAGGTCTACCACTTTAAGGTCTACCACTTTTAAGGACTCCACACTCTTGGGACAATCTGTATCCGTCTGGCCTCCATTGGAGGGGCCATGTTGGTGTCCCACTTCAGCTAGAATTAGACCATTTTTTCTCAGCATATGTTGGAGTAGAGATCAGGTCTGCATAGATCTTACCCCTCTTAGACCCTACATTCGATTGGGATTTACCATGTTGACAGTTTGGTTTGGTTTGGTTTGGTTTTTATGTTGGAACCTTGATGATCTCCTCAAGGGCTCTTTTGGAGATTAACTAATAGGGTTCCACATATTCTGACATGGTATCAGATTCAAGGTCCACCACTCTAGGGACTCCACACTCTGGGACAATCTGTGTCCGTCTAGCCTCCATTGGAGGAGGCATGTTGGAGTCCCACATCGGCTAAACATTGACCATTTATTCAAAAAGTTTGATTCAGAGAGTTATTCAAAATTTTTGATTCAGAGAGTTAATTCAAAATTTATGATTCAGCTTCCATTTCTTCTGGGTGTTCCCATCTTAGAGAAAATTGCCGCCCCAATTGCTCCCATCTTTGTTGGACGAACTGGTAGTCAGCTGTTCCTCACTGATGGTAAACCCAACAAACCACCTCTGCTTTTGAGAATGACAACAGATTGTGAAGAGGGAAATTTTTTGTGAGTAACAGTGTTTGATAAATCTTGAAGTTGAAATTTCCCATGTGAAAAGTTTATTCTAATCGCTCTTTTTATTGCAGATCTGCCCTTGGTGCATTTAGATACCGTATTTTGTATGCCAATGCCTCCTATGATCGTATCCTGCCAAGTTACTCTTTCTGCTTGCTTTTTCATTTCTTTTCTAAATTAAACCAAATATCGTTACTACTTAGTATTTACTAGATTTGGTTGGTCGGCGGACATCCTCAATCAGAAGGGAGTCTGAGCTCGTTAAGGTAATTTTGCTGCTAGAATTTTTATCGCATTGCATACGAATCATTGCACATGCACACATGTATGTTTTTAACTCCAACTGCCATCAATTTGCATGATCTCCTTTCAAGCTTAAACAATAATTATAAAGTTGACACATTTCTGGATGCATAATGGACTACACCCAATCAAAACCAAACGTACCTGGTATATCCCACTCGAAAGTGGGATGTATGCAGACAATTCCTCTACGTGGGAGTAGAGAGGGTGGAAATTAAAAAACAAGATATCAGAATTTATGAATAACACATCAAATCTTTTGGCCAAGCTTAGAATTGCTACGTCCTATTCACATGACATGGATGCAATGTTTATTTTCTTTTTTCCGGTTAAATGATATAAAAATATTTTTTTTTTCGTCATCATCATTGCAAATTGTTGCTACTTTTGATTTTGGTCTAGAAGGTTCCCTTGCTCGATCTTCATTGAAAGGTATCTTTGAAAACCAAATCAAACCAAACATGAAGTAGGGTCTGGGGAGGGTAGGCAGTATACTGACCTTGAGTCGGATTCATACGAGAATGATACTTATTTAAGAAAATAAGAAAATGCCCGAATCACATGTGATTTTACACTAACATCATGTATAAAATCACATGTGATTCATGCGACTTTGCCCCGCGGCCTGAGGCCGAGGTCGCGTCCAAAGGCCCCCACGCCCCCTTTTCTGCCTGTAAAATAACATCACATGTGACTTTGTAGCCATTTTCTTATTTTCTTAAATAGGTATCATTATCGTATGAACCTACCTCTACAGACCTTACCCCTACTCCGGGGAGTAGAGATGAGCCTACCCAGCTATTCATCTTGTCTGCACCCTTATTGTAATCAACATCATATATCATTGGACTTACATTTGGTACCTAAAATTTGTAGCCCCCTTTGGAATCATTGGATGGCTATAAACATGTTGTAGATGTGGAGATATGCCCTCCGGTATTATCTGCAGGTTCCAAGTTTCCTCCTGAAGCAGCAAGAGCAAAAGAAGCAGCCCAAACTGTACCTAATACCCAAAATACAGCTGAATATCATGAAATCATGGAAGGTAAACGTCACTTCTAACTAAAACCAAAGTAAAAGTAAACACACTCTGTATATCCGACTCGAAGGTGGGTCTGGAGAGGCAAGATATACGTAGACCTTACCCTCTGTTCCAAGAGATTAAGGGTTGGTAACTGAACTCTTTTATCGCCTCTTACCGGGTAAGGGACACCCGGTCAAAGATGATAGTCTTTACCAACAACAATCTTATAAGTGAAGGTGGTGACTTTTGGTTAGTGCTTACTAGATAAGAGACGCTTATATCATACTGTTTGATGACCAAGAATCTTATGCAGTAAGGTATTGAGGACAGTGACTCTTATGCGGTAAGCGCTTGCCCAGTTTCCGTTGGTAAACGACCTTAAAGTGGTTGTTTTCGAGATAAATTTCTTTTTCATCTTTTTTAAATTGTCTTTGGCATGGCTAAAACATCATGACGCCTTTGTTATAGAGGAAATGATTCGCGGGTTACAACAGTTGGGATGGAAAAAAGTCGATGTCAGTTTCCACACCTCATTTTGGCCCTTCTTCGCTCATAACAACATCCATGTACGGGTTCTTGTTGAATTTGTTCTTATTTTTCTTTGTTTTCATCTTTCTTTGCAAAAATACGAGTTTTCGACTGATGATATTCGTTTGTAATGTGGAATTTGCAGGTGAAAGATGAATGGTTCCATAAAGCTGGAGCTGGAGTAGTTTCTCATGTTGCTGATAGCATTAAGCAGCAAGAAAAGCAACATCAATCTGCTTCATTCATCTCTGCGAATTTGTAGCTATGGAAGTGTATGTGAATGTTTGAATCATACCATTCATGCGATATATGTGCATATACATATTACAATGTATATGTATGTATGTATGTGTATCGAGTTTTTCATATATGACTGTCTCTCTTCAACACACCTTTCACAAGAACGGGTTTTCACGGGAACATTTGAGGGCAGCATATATTTTACCGCATACCTAGGGATGTTAACGATTCGAGCCATTCAAGCATACGCTTATTCGAGCCAAACATGTTAATGTATCCATAAATTATACGACCAAAATATATAAATTATCAAGTTCTCGAGGATCTTGAATTTGAGCCCCTATACACGGATCTCGAACATTTTAAAAAATATTTGCGCTCAGCCTGAAATTATTTTTTTTGCCGAGCTCCGACTCCGATGGACCCTATCTTGAGTTGGCATATATTGGGTTCGTTTGGGTTCATGTACGCATATACACGTGTATAGTACAAGGAACACATTCTTGAGTGAAATATAAACTTATTTCACTTTGTGATTCAAATGAGCCGTTTGCCAAACGCTTACGCAGGGTAATTGCTTACCGGTAAAATTCAACATTGTCACCTACTTATCGGGTAAGATTTAGTCCACCAAAATGGTATTGTATACGATAATTTACCCGGTAAGTGCTACTCATGGTAAGAGTCGTCGTCCTCACTTGTCAGGTAAGACTCTTGGTCTTTGCCTTCACTCTTATTGGGTAAGATTCTTAGTCCTTGGTATATATATGTGGTTAGGTAATGTGATTTGGTAAGTCTTATCCGGGTAAGCGTTTGGTAAGCGACACTTAAGTTTAAACAAGATGAGGGGCCTCCCTTCCTAACTACTTTCGTTTAAGTTCACCAGGTTATCTCTTACCTACGCTTGGATTCAACAATAGTTTCAAAGGTTGACCTATTTGGGATATCCAATCCCAACGAACCTTGGGAGCATACTGGCAAGATAAGGCATGAAATAGGGATGTTTATGGGTTGGGTTGATCAGATTGCAGACATTTGAATAACCCAATCCAATGTTTGCAGTCTGAAAAATCTAATCAACCCAACCCAATCCAAACTGTACGGGTCGGTCGGGATGATATTTTGGTACATCAAAATATTCTCCAAACTTTGAATATGTTTTTTTTTTCTACTTATAATTCATTTTTCATCATCAATCTCTTGGTACAACTTTTGCGTTCCATAAACCCGATTTTATTCCAATACGAGGTGCGCGTAAATTGGTCTTGACACAAACAGTAACAATAATAATAACAAAATAATTAAGAAACAAAGCACATAATATCTTAACGAAACAGACATCATAAAGCACTACAAGCAATCAAGTATACATATATATATATATATATACACATATATATATATATATATATATATATATATATACATATGATTCTTAATTGTCTACTATATATATATAGCCATTGGTTTGGATAGATGAATGGCCTTTAGAAGAGCTTGAATCACCTCTTTTCTGCTCATGGCTTGTTCTTGGTGCTTATGAGATTCAACAATGGCTTCCATCCAGAAGAAGTAGTTGCATGTGATCCTTGACTGAATGACACACAGACCCATCTCTTCCAAGGCTTCCAATATTAAGACAAGTGTATCTGCTTCTTTCTTGCATCTTACTCTTACCAAAAACCTATTCATGTACTGTAGCTTTTCTACTCTCACATTCTGCCATTTGTAACCAATTAAGCTCTTTAGAATTAGAAATCCCACCGGTATAAAGCACTACAACAAGATTGGCTTTATAGAATAAAATACATTATAGAACTTAAGTTTATAGGACCAAATTATAAAGATTATGGTCTAAAAGCGTTACAATAGGTTCATAGGACGTTTTTGAGCGTTTTAACAAGCATTTTAGAACATTTTTAAATAAAGTGTCATATTAGCTATTTTATCGTATGTTCTTTTTTTAAGATGTCCTGTAAACCCATTTTTTATTGGATACTTGTGTTTACAAAACATTTTTTTTCAAATAATGTCGTATAAAATAGCTAACACAACACAACACAACACTTTATTTTAAAACGTCCTATAAAACTAAATGTCCTACAACACATTAGTTTTATAAAGCAGTTATTCGAATACTTTGACATTTTTTATGTTGGATAAACCCGATTTTGTTGTAATGATGCCGGTGAAGAAATTTAAAAAGAGATCGACCTGAATATGCTGCATTAAGTGAATATATTCTCTTTGCATCGCTTCGAGTTTCCGCTTCAACTTGTAGATATAGAGAAAAGCATCCCTCATGATTGCACTTCTTTTCACCTTAACGACAAAAAGAACACATCGTCAATCTAAAAATGATGATGAAAATTCATAATGAATAATGTCAAACATGTAAAATGGTGATGAAAATTCATAATGAATAACGTCAAATATCTAAAAACGGTGGTGAAAATTCATAATGAATGAGTTTGGTTTAAACAAAAATGTACTGATTTAGAGTTGGTAAGCCTTCGTAAAATGAGAAGCTTTCTTCTCAATATCATCTTGTTTTGTAGCCTAGAATATGTCATCTCAGTGTGTGGTTTTCCTTGAGAAGATCAAGGGTTGGTTTTGATTTCTAATATCATTCACATGTGAATTGAAGTAGGTTTTATAGAATATTTTGCTGTCGAATGTTGGTACAATATCGTATTATTGTCTTTTTCTTCAACTTCTAGTGTCTTAATGACAACTTTAAACCCAGGTTTATTTATATTCATTGAGACGTTATGTTTAGCAAAAACGTCGAAGTGTCTTAATAGATTGTTTTAATAGAACTTATGTTTATAGTATCAAACACTTGTATTTTTTTTTAAGTAAAAGGGTTGCAGTAAAATTACATAACACATTTATAGGTGTTTCTTTTTATAGACAATTGTGAAATAAGAGTCATATTAATTTTTTTTTATTAACCTGCATATCCAACCAGCTATGCGAGTCGACTAATCCCAGGACGACCACCTGGTACATTTGACCTTTGAGTCAAGTTCAAACCAATCAGACACCACCCTTGTGGTTTATTAGAACATTTTTACATGAAACGTACAATTATTTGTATCTATAAACATAATTAAGTTTTATTATAAAGCATGTATCACTCGTTCAGCCATTTTATAAACCCTGTTCTATTGTGTATACGTCTCACAATTCTTGATGAATTTGGGCAACCTACTGTTAACGTCAACCGTTGAATACCACATCAATTTGTGGGGGCATTTTTAGGCTCATTCAACGGTTGATGATAGCAGCAGGGGCGAGGCAGATTTCGATGACGGATTGGTGAGCTTATTTTTGTTTCGAGTGTAGTCTCGTGATATGGACAATAAGAGTAGAGAATAGGATAAAAAGAAGTTGGCTGGCTGGAGAAGGTATATATAAAAGCCAAACATGAATAGAATGACTGAATGAGCGAGCAGCAGGCAGCACAGCACAGCACAGGCATAAGCCAGTTATTCGTTCGTACCCTTTTTCATTTGTTTGTAAAAAAGCATGCATGATTCAGACTGATCTTTGGCTGGAGAAGGTATATATAAAAGCCAAACATGAATAGAATGACTGAATGAGCGAGCAGCAGGCAGCACAGCACAGCACAGGCATAAGCCAGTTATTCGTTCGTACCCTTTTTCATTTGTTTGTAAAAAAGCATGCATGATTCAGACTGATCTTTGGCTGGAGAAGGTATATATAAAACAAACATCAGTAGATGCTTTGTGTCCTCATTTATGTCGGATCTTCAATCTCACACTACTCTGTTTTCCTTCCCAAATGGACAAAATGCACAAAATAGCAATCTACTTTCATAAATTTCTTTATTATAACATTGTACTTTCAGTTTTTTTACAGCATTGGGTAACCTTTTGATTTAAATTTACCCATTATACTAGGTTTCCATGCCACCTCATTATCCACGTAGGTTGTCCATATATATTATAGTGATGTGACTTTCTTAATACATCATTGTACTTTCAAAATTATTTTATTATAGCATGTTCTAGTTCTTATTAAACAATGTATTTTTAATTTTAGTATTTAGATATTTTATATGTTATTTAATAAATGTATTAAATGAATTAAAATAAATTCTAAATTATTCATTAATATACCAATATCAATAAAACTAGTAGAACGCAACTTATCTCGCTAATATTTTTTGAAAAATATGTGTTTTTTTGAAAAATAGGAAAATAAGAATTGTTCTTTTTTTTTACCAAAAAGTATTATCTTTTAAAGAATATATTATATTTGTTCAAAAACTTTTTACTTGACGTATAAATATATTAAATTAATTAGATTTTTTTGAATTATTTATTAATATAACAATATTAAAAAATTGTAGATAACAATTTATTTCGTTAATATTTTAAAGAGAACTTTAAAATATATGTATTTATTTGAACAACATAAAATAGGAAAAATTACTTTTTTTACAAACAAATATATCTCGAAAATAATGTTTCATATTTATTTAATAAATATTTTACTTTAAGAATATTTAATTTGAATGCAACTTAATAAGAAAAAGTAAAAAAAAAATTAAATGTTTTTTTAAATCATAGCAATGAAAAATGAAAATCACTAATAATAATTTGAAATAGGTTTTTATTTTAATTTTAGTTAAGTCATCAAAATGATGTGTCATTCACATCACCTCATTAAAGACACACAACCAAAAAAGTCAAAGGGTTAACTAGTTTAAAAGGTAACATGTTACCCATTGCTATTATAGGTAGATTTTTTAAGGGCAAATTGCATGAAAAAGCAACGTACTTTAATTTAATTTCTATTTTGGGTAATGTACTTTCAAAACTTCCATTTTGGTACTAAGATGTAAAGTTTTAAACATTTAAGATGTAACTGATTGAAGTATTAACCGGTTATCATATTGATGTGGCGAGTGATGTGGTATCCAACTCGGTATTATTTGTTGACCTAGTCAGTGACGTGGATTTTTTTTAATCTAAAAATAGTCTTTTTTTTAGTCTAAAATTAGTCTTCACTGGGTTATCCGGGTACTTAAATGTTTAAAACTTTACATCTTAGGTACCAAAATGGAAGTTTTGAAAGTACATTACCCAAAATAGAAATCAAGTTAAAGTACGTTACTTTTTCATTCAATTGGCCCATTTTTTAAAGTACAATGCCTTAATAAAAAATAATTTGAAAGTACATTGCTGTAATAAAGAAAAACAAAAGTAGAATGTTATAATAAGAAATTTTATGAAAGTAGGTTGCTATTTCATGCATTTAACCATTTTTAAATGAGTATTACCTCTGAAACG